TTGATGTGTGCTTTTGGTTTTCTTCACACATGATGGGTGCGTGACGGGGGGATGTGGTGTTTGCAAAAACAGGTGTGAGAAGGGGTGTGGGGGAAGGTGGGTGGGTGGGTGTGGAGGGATGTGGGTTGGTCTGTGGGAGGAGACCAGACTGATTGGCTAAGGAGAATGGGACTGAAAAGCACTGAGGCAATAAGAAGAAGGATCTCACGAAGTATGAAGACAAACTATGACTGGCTGGGCTAAGAAACAGGAGTGGAGAGACTAAGATGGGATAAGGAGTCCAAGAAGGAATCTGAGAGCAGGAGCTGATAGGATTCAGTAGGTGAATAGCACTCATATGGGAGACAGAAACAGATCATTGGAGGGCAGAACTAGGACTGATTGTGCAAGGAGACCATGAGTGCGGGAAGACCAGTGTTGGGATGGAAGGGCTGCAGGGCTGATACTCAGTGTCTCTGGGCAAAGATATTGGAATTGGATTGAGAAGTCTGCAGAGTAAAGACTGGTGATATGAGGAGAATGGGACTAAAAGGATGAGCTAGAAATGGAGAAGAGAGGGGCCTGGGATAGGAATGGTGGAGCAGACAGGGCAGAAGGGGCAAAGGGGCAGACCAGTCTGGCACATAAGAGCAGTGTTCCCTTCCATTCATGGAATGGGTCTGTGGTCAGCAAATACCTGTAAAACTCACTGTTGTATTGTCCCATCTCCCCTTTGGCACTGGTTCACATAGGGATGACAGCCTACTATTTAAACCACTGGCTCAAACAACAGAAGCTTGTGTGTGGTGCTAAGGGCTCCAACCCTTCAAGTGAACTGTGTTGGGGCCACTATGATGCCATAGGTTCAAACTTCTGGTTTTTTACTTTGCTTTTTATTTAAATAAATTCTACCTTAAGATAGATGTGCAATATAAAGGTTACAAAATGAAATTCTCAAATCTTAGTATCTGTTGCAGGGCAAATCATTTATACCAGGCTTTTCATAGGTAGTCACTCACTTTACATTCCTCATTTTCTTGCTTTTCAGCTTGATATGCTGAACACTTAGCTACTGTGGACTTTGCTAAACCTCAGCATATTTTATAGGACCAGATAAGTATAAGCTAGGCTGAATTAGCAAGATTGTGTCAGACTGCAAAGAAGTAAATATCTTCATTTTGGCATTTCCCAGATTCTGAGTTCTCAATTTTGGAACCTTAGTAATAATCCTTTAACATAGGACAGGCCTGTGTGCATATATGTATAACATATTCAGTATATATTGTGGTGGTGTGTGGTATGTGTGCATCAACTGTTGGAAATACAACTCCAAAGGATAAATGCCTATGTTGCATAAAATGAGGATAGTCCTTTGAAGTATAGCCTTGCTACTTGAAGTGCATTATTACTTTTTAAAATTAATTACACAAGGGTAGCACCGTGATCATCATCTGTGTTTGCTGGGTGTCTGCACAGAGCACAACCCTTGTCATTCAGTTAAGCTCTTATCCCCTTTAGTACATGGGTTTGCTGCATATTAAAGAGAATTTGATGGCATTTTGTTCTTTTCATTAAGCACACTGAATTCCCTATTGTCATCTTTTAAGGTTTTTTTTTATTGGTTCTAATTCATATACTTCCTTTCAATTCACACACTGGGTGAAACCAAAGTTCTACTGGGTTTTTCTGCACCAGGCCAGTGGCAAGTCATGGAGGGCATTCAAGCACCCTCTGCCCTTTCCCTGCTTACCTACACCCAGAAGATGTCTAGTGAGACTGATCTGGGCTCTTCCCCAGAGGCTACTTTCAGTCACTCAGAGGCCAGTGGTTGGAGAGCAAGCACTGGGGTGAGCTCAAATTAGCCTCTGTGGAAAACTTCTGGGTTCAGAATGTGCCTGTGTGTGTGCATGTTGGCAGGGGATGGCCTAAGCATGCTGGATCCCCTAGTGCTGAGGCTCACTGTCACTGCAGTGTATACAAGTCCACTAGAGGCAATGGGGCCAGGATTTCACCCACCACTTCTTGCCTCAGCAAACAATGATACCAAGTGTGTAATGTAAGTAACACGCTCCATTGTAAATATCAATATAGCTAAGGACAGACATTCAAAAAGCCTGAGCCGGAATTAATTTAATCTTTGCAGGTTAGTCTAACCTGGCTGGGCTGAACCAGTTTGTAACACCACAGACATCGCCTCCAGACTGGGGAAGTGCCAGCACATGCCTGCAGTGGCTCAGGCTAGAAGCTGGAGATGGGGGGTGCTAAAGCAGCCCTCCTTTCTCTTTCACACAGCTGAGCTAAGGCGGGGGGGGGGTCATTTCAACACTGTTTCAACTTGTTTCGAGCTTGAAACAATGAAATTGAAATGAAATGAAGGGCTTTGAAATGTTTTGAATTTCAAAGCTCAAGCTACAGGGAAACAGAAAATAATAAGAGGGAAGGGGAAGAGGGGAGAAGGACTGCTTTCATATTGACTGT